TGCACGTGCATTCTGAGCTGCTCCCCAGCTCCTTCCCTAACTCTTAAGTATCAAGCCTCTCTCTACTGTCACCATTCTCAGCAGCATTTCTTTTTTTTCTTTTGAGTTGGAGTCTCACTCTGTCACCCAGACTGGAGTGCAGTGGCTACTCCCGGCCACCGCAGCCTCGACCTGCTGGGCTCCAGCAATCCTTCTGCCTCAGCCTTCCGAGTAGCCGGAATTACAGGCGTGTGCTACCACGCCCGGCTAATTTTTGATTTATTGTAGAGATGAGGTCTCACCAAGTTGCCCAGGCGGGTCTCGAACCCGCGGGCTCAGGCAATCCACTCACCTCAGCCTCCCAAGGCGCGGGATTACAGGCTGAGCCACCGAGCCCGGCTCAGCAGCATTTCTATCCTTAGCAATTGCTGTGCAATTTTGAAGAGCCGTCAGAAGAAGGGATAAGAAATCCAACGTCACATACTACGCATGGATGTTAAGACTGTTGAGTTTAAGGGAAAGAGATCTGTCAGCGAGGGAACCAGCTTGGTCCCTATGCTTCCCTTCACCTTTACTCGCCAGGTATAAAATGTCAATAAGGATATCCCAGAGAAATGATGAAAAGGACACAACAGCAGGCGGGTTAGGAAAAAAATGCTGTGGAAACAGATAAATAGTCCCGAGCTTACAAGCCTCTACATTCTAAGAGTTACCCCAAAACACACATGAATAAGCCCTTATTTAGTACACACTCAACATACATAGTTTCTCTTCCTCCTTCTAAGGCACTGGGGCATCCTTTAGAAAAAAGTAAGCTGACAAATTATGAAAATTAAAACAGCACAACAGTACGGAGGCATTCCTAGAAGCTGTGTCCTTTCTCCAGCGAGCAACAAGAACTCCTGGAGGGGCACTGCTCACTGCTCAACCTGGAAGACTGAACTTCTGTCAGAACAGAGGTTGGCCCTGGATCCCAGAACCACCTCACAGTGGCTCTCAAGTATCTTTCCTGGAAAGTGCCTTTTTAAGAAAATTAAGTAAATGCACAACAAAGCAAGCCTGTAGAAAGAAAGGCCATCCATCCCTCCAATCCTCCACCCACAGGCAGCTGATTACCACATCGAAACACATCTCATGAAAAGGCCTGTACAATCCAGGCAGCTCTGGAGAACCTGAAAGCATGGAAAACGGGAGCACTAAACCACTTTACTAAAAAAACCAGAAGGAAAAATCTCTTCCATTTCAGTAACTCAAAAAATTCCCAGGCACTAAAGTGGCTGCTGACTTGAGCAACCGCTCAACTGAAATCCCAGCTCTGCACTCACTTGGATGTATGAGCACTAACACACTACTGCTACCAAGACCAGAGGCATGTGACTGTGTCACTGGGGAAAATTCCAGGGCTTATCATTAGACTGGGTGGAATACTGTCCCAAAATACTCCTGTCCAAACCTGTGAGTGTGGACCTAGCTGGAAGCAGGGTCCTTGCAGGTGGAGTCTAGGTATGATGAGCAAGCCCTTTAGCATGGGCCCCGAATCTTCTAAGGAGGAAATCTGGACACAGGCACAGAGAAAGCTGGCTGTGTGGACATGGAGGAGCAGCCACAGTGAGGCAGCTGCAGGCCTAGGAGAAGCCCCAGCAACCTCAAAAGGCAATTAGGGACTCTTCCTTGGAGCTCTCAGAGGGAGCACGGCCCTGCCGACTCCTTGGCGCCAGACCCCTGAAAGTCAGCAAATACATTTCTGTTGTTTTAAGTCCCCCCGTTGTGATACTTTGTTATGGCAGCCTAGGAAATGAATACATTTGGTGAAAAAAACATGGTATAAATACCAGCATTTAATAAAGTTGTGAGTTTTCTCCATGTTATTACTTATTGGGACCATCAATCCGGTTTTATTCTTCCTGTCAGAACTTTATAACAGACACTGTTTATTTAGGCTGCAGGACCAAAAAACCAAAATGTATTGCAAGAGATTATTCTAGGATGTCATATTTTACAGGCCAGGGTCAGAAATGTTCAGAGACTTCCTTAGCAGGGTCATCTGCATAGTGATCTGGTAGCAAAGCCAGGACTAGACGCAAAATGTACCAAGTCCATGCATGGTATTTATTACAGTGATGCAATTCCTGGACAATGATGCACAGTCATGCCCCATGGACCAACGTGGCCAACAACGACAGACCACACACCCTATGTTAGGCACATGAGGTCACAACAGCCTGAAAAATTCCTGCTGTCGCGCTAAGCACTGCTCACGTGTTTGTGGTACGGCTGGAACCTACGAACCTACTGTACTGTTATTCATACAAAAGCCAGCACATACATGTACAGTAAGTACACAACACTTGGCGATGATAGGAAGCCACTATATTGCTGGTTTATACATCACTGTGTACAATTACAGTTGTTAAAGTGTACTCCTTTTACTTTTTTTTTTTTAAGAGATGAGGTCTTACTATGTTGCTCAGGCTGGTACTTGGATTATAATAGCTGTGAGCAACCATGCCCAACAACTCCTTTTACTTAATTAAAAAAAAAAACAAACAAACAGTAAGACAGCCTCATGCAGGAGGTATTCCAGAAGAAGGCATTGTTACCATAGGAGGGTACAGCTCCATGTGTCTCAAGACCTTCCAGTGGGACAAGATGTAGAGATGAAGACAGTGATATGGTAATCCTGATTCTGCATAGTCTGCGTTTGTGTGTGTGTTTGTGTCTTTGTTTTCAGCAAAAGAGTTTAAAAGCAAAACTGCCCAACAACGCATTTCTCAGTTTGTGCCTGTGTTGTGGTGCAATGCTTGGCTGTATACACACACTATAGATTGTTTTCCAGATACTTAAAAACATTTTTCAGTTACTTTTAACATTTCCCCAAACTGCTCTGTCATGACTGCTGAGTGATGAGCTGAAGAATAAAGCAGAGGCGAGGTAGGGGTGTCTTCTCAGGCCCAGCTCACAAGACTCAGCCGAGCACACAACCAAGTGCTTCCCTCTCACAAGCATGCATCAACAGGCATGAAAGTACTCAAGCCCTTGATGAGGCAAAGGTTTACCACGGCATGCTTTACAAAATAACTTTAAGAAAAAGCATAATTTCAACAGTCAACAAGGAAACGGAGTAGAATGCAGCCAGTAAAAATGCTTTCCAAAAACAAATAGGGAAATGTGCAGGACATACAAGCAACATGACTGTGATAGACAAATTTCAGGCTAGTGGGAGACAACGCACCAAGATGTTGGGAGTGAGTTAATTTTGAGTCTATTGGGGTTTAGAATCTCTTTTGCAGTTCTGTGTAACTCCCAAGTTTCCTAAGAATTGATACACAGTAGTTCATCAATTCTAAGACATTTTTCTACATGTCAACAGCGTTTAAATCAAGATGCATCTTACAACTGCCATCATGCCCTAGGTTAATGGAAATCATTCTTTGTGGTTCATAAAATAATGGCACATCTTACAATCAATAGTATCTTCGGTTCTATAAAATGTGGTAGTTTTATAACAGGGAACTACAATAGCCTAACATATACATATGGAAACTCACATAAATATATTTATGAATGCCTATAAAAAGATGAAGCAACACTCACGACTACTATTGTACTTATCTCAGTTGTTACTAAGAGACTCCAGTTCTCAAATATAGAAATTCCCACTTAACTACCAGCTATAAAAACCTGGAAACAGACACTGAAGAGGTGTCTCAAATAGAGAAAGGCCACGTTTTTCTCCTCAGTACAGGCATATCCAGTCACCTCCTAACTATTCTTGGTTACCATTCCAGCTCCTGTTGTACAAATCTTACTTTAAAATTTTCTTAGTGAAGAACTAAGGAAAAACAAATATTCACCACCCCTGGAACATTTCTTAGTTTTGTTCTAGCTAATTTTTAGAGGTTAAATCAGGATGTAATTTGTTCTCTACCCCAAAGGAACAAATTATCATCATTTTAAAGTGAGTCTTCTGTATTATGCCCTCAATTATTATATGTTCTGCAGAAGTTTTGGAGCTTTCTATACAAGCCCAATTTAAAAAGAAGCTAGAAATCTCCAGTTAACTGTTCAAATAAAAATTTAACTGATTATATACCGGAGGCAACTTCAAACCCTCATCACTGTGTTCATGCTGTAAGTTGTCAACCTTAACTTTTGGGGTACAAATCAATTTAATGCACTGTTCACAGTACAGTGATTTTCTAAAGTGCTAAAGACAAAAAAGCGTTTTGACACTTATTTTGGGGGGGTAATAAACTTTATCTAGAGCCATGGAGCTCAACTGCACCAAACTAATGGAGAAAAACACTTTGCAAGAATGTCAGCTCCACAGAGGCAGGGTTTTTTTTCCCCATTGTGACGCTACTATGAAGAGCAGAGCTGGTATGTAGGAGGCACTCAATACTGGTTGAATGAATTTCTTTTCTGTACACAGTTCTCCCAAAGTCAAAGCCAAACTGAGCAAAGGATTCTTTTCCAAGATGAAAAACTGCACAATGTCATTGTCACAGATAAAAGGTGTACAGTAGCAAACAGTCCCCTGCAGACAGAACACAGAAAAATAAAGCTCCCAACTACTGTCTAGTTTTGCCTAAATAATCTTTTGGGAAAAACCCTGTGTTCCCCAAGAAAGCAAGGGAAGCTTAACAGTAAAAAAGGAACTCATCTAAGCAGAACAGCAAGGAGAGGAATCTCTTCCAGAGTCACCAACTTCTCCACAAATGTGACAATATAACAGTTGCAACCAATGACTTACACGACACAGCCTCTTGTTCTTGTTTCGTGTTAGCCCAGAAACCCACACTGTTGTGTTCGACATACATGTCCAATTAAAAACATTATATTCTAATAGGCTTTCCGCACTATTCTAAGCAGCATCAGGCTCTTAAACAATTAACTGCTGTATCACATCAGTAAACCACTTACCCTGAAATAGGAGTTCCTGGAGAGGAAGATGGGATGGGAGAAAAGGGATAATGGTAGTTTTTAGGTGGGTTGAAAAACACCAGACAATCATCCCTTACCTTATTAGCACGTATCTGTTTGTAAATGTCTGTCTGCTGCCGAATTCGATATTCCAAGTCAGAAACATGAGCCTGAAGCCAGTTCCAGCGGCTGACAATAGCTGCCCGGTCTGCAGCCCATCTCCATTCTGACCTGCGTCTCCTAAAAGGAAATACATTGAGTGAAATCCAAGAGTAGCAGTTTCATCTACACCCAATGGCGTGAGATGGGGTGGGGCAGGATTTTGTTTCTAAAGTTCCTTGTATAGACTATAAACTCCAGTGCCAAGACGAACCCAAGTCAGATCCCGGATGCACAGGACCACAACCTTCATGAAGCTATTTCCCAAGTTCACTAGTGGTATGGCCTTCTGGTATTCTGGTTCGTGGCCCACAATTTCTCTGAAACTGTATTAATTTTCCATGAGATAGAAGCACTTTCTACGTCAAAATAGGACATATGAAAGGAATAATTTATGTAGAAAATTCAAGAGACACTAAAGTTCATTAAAGTCAATCAAGACCTCAGCAAACGTGCCGAGTAAAGAATAACGTCGAAAACTAAGTTAGAAAAGCAGGAAATATTCATTTTTTTTTTTTTTAAAAGCATGATACCTAACACCAACAAAAACTAACATACTAAAAATCCTTACAGTGAAAATAATCAAGGTCTACAGAAGTGGCGAGATGCATTTTCTTAGAATGGTATATTCTCAGATACATCCACATATTCAAGGAAATTCTCTCCAAGGTTTTTTTTAATAGGATCTGAGACACAGGTCCAAAAGTTGACATGGAACACAGGACCAACAGTCAAGAAATTCTCAAGAACAGTATGATGCAAACCCATCTTACCAGCTATCAAGACTCACTGCAAAGCTATGGTTAAGTGAGGCGTCTTTGACGGGCAAGGAGTCCACTGGACCAGAACAAAGAGATACACACCCTGGAACTAGATGTGTAAAAGGTACAGCTCTCATATCAGTGGGAAAGACTTTAGAAGGAAAAAGTAACATTAGTGTCCTTCCTTCTGATATAATTACTAATTCTGGCTTTTCTGAATAGTCAACTTAACAACAAGGAAGGAGTTCTTAAATAAATCACAAAAACATCATGTAATTTTTAATATATAGTAAGAGATCTAATTTAAAAAGTTAAAAGACAAACTACTATTTGGTAGAAAATATCTGTAGCACATAACTCAAGATTAAGCATCAGGATATGTAACAGAACTCCTGAGAAACAGGTTAATAGAAAAAAAAAGAATCTTTTTTTTTTTTTGAGTTGGAGTCTCACTCTGTCGCCCAGACTGGAGTGCAGTGGCCGCTCCCGGCCACCGCAGCCTCGACCTGCTGGGCTCTGGTGATCCTTCCGCCTCAGCCTTCCAAGTAGCCGGAATTACAGGCGCGCACTACCACGCCCAGCTGATTTTTTTATTTATTGTAGAGATGAGGTCTCGCTGCCCAGGCGGGTGA